GGGTTTCACCATGTTGACCAGGATGGTCTCGATCTCTTGACCTCGTGATCCACCCCCCTAGGCCTCCCACAGTGCTGGGATTACAGGCTTGAGCCACCGCACCCGGCCGCAACATGCTGTTTTAATGAATACCTGGGTGCAGACCGGCTCAGGCTTAAAATGGCGTCAGCCCCAAGTGAGGGTGAGGCAGGGTTTTCTAGTCTCCTGTAAATGGGGTGTTCCAGTGTGATGTAACTGCTACGTGGTACCTAGATGGCCTCTCTCTTGATCTTCAGGGGGTACTTATCATCCGGCCTGTTCTCTTCTGCCTTCTGCTCTCTTGCTGACCCACGCTGCTGGTGCAAGTGGTCTTGTACCTTGTGACCGGGCCTGAGGTGGGAGGAATTATCCCCCAAGTTTTCAGGCCCTGGGGAGAACGTTTCATTAGGGAGAGTAGGCTGGCTGATTGTTGTTTGTTAGGCACAAATTGGTTTGGCGGTGCACTGGGGTGCCTCAAGCTGAAAGCTTGATTCATCGTACTTGTCAGACCCCACATGGCGTTCCTGTGACTGCCAGGCCACTTTGAGGCTGAGAGAGACAGTTTTGTCTCGCCTCTGTCCTGCACATGTTTACGATGCCTTCTCTGTGTTGGCAGATCTGGGGGTCCACTAGATAGGATCCCGTGAAGAGATCTCAGAGGTCTTTAGTCCAATGTGTTTATCACATCATTTCCACAATCAAAGATGTGAATAAAATATAGAGGCTTATTTAGTGATAAGGTTGATGGTGCACTTGTGCTAGGCAGTGTTTTAGTTCCTTGAGACACCAAGGAGTTGTTACAATCCTTTGCCTTAGAGTTTTGCATCTGTAAGTCCTGCTATCAAGAACTGTGTACGTTATAATGTCTGATTCGGTCAGGCGGCATCTGGGCTGAGCTTAGGATATGGGATCTGTAAGCCTAGGTAAGGGGAGGCTGGTGTCCAGCAAGTATCCAGTACCCCCTCAACATCCCAGTTCTTCTCCACCAATCTTCCAATTCTAGGACTGATGTGGAGGCCCTCAGAGCAACTTAAGAGGGGAGATAGTCAGTGTGCTCTGTGGCTAGCTTGTTTGGGAGTGTACATTGTAAATCCTCTGCCAACAAAAAGTTGGGAACAAGTAATGTTTCAGCTTGAGTTTCTCATAAATGGCTTGCAGTCGTATGAACCAGAGCATGTATACCACAGGGCAACATGAGGGTCCCTCTACCACCCTTTCTCCCAGTGGCCTAGGTGGGCATCTACACAGAATAATGTGTGCAGCCTCACTGTGTGAAAGTCCAGTGCTTTGTGCTTGGAGTATCATCAGGGAAAAGCCCCTTACTTGGAAGGTTGCCGAGCTGCCTCGGAGGGAAGGAGGGGGAGTGTGGTGCTGCTGGGTCTGCTTCTCACTCTAACAGGAGGCACGAGATAGCCTTGGTCTTAGGAAGACCTTGGGTGCCCCAGCTCACTTCAGCCCTGATCAGTGTGATGCAGGCACTGGGTCCTGGTTCTGGAGGTGAGAATACACCCTGGGCTTGCACTGCATGGCTGGCACAGTGGGCATTAAGGTGCCTATTTGGGGACTGCTACGGAGTCCTGTGCCAGATGCGGTGGTGCACAGCTGGGAGCCAAGGGTCCCTGCTTCTGCTGGAGAATCTGGGCAGATGTAAAGGGTTAAGGTTAGGGGTAGGGGTAGGGGTTAAGTTTAGGGTTGATGTCAGGGTTTAGGGGTCAGGGTCAGGGGTCAACGGTCAGGGCTAAAGAGTAGGATGAGGGATTGGGGTAGGGGTAGGGTTAGGGTCAGGGGGTTAGGGTTTAGGGTTAGAGGGTAAGGTGGGTAAAGGTGGAGGTGAGGGTGAGGGTAATAAGCAGATTAGTAAAAGCAATTCTGCTTCACTTCAATAACAACCTTCTCCAACTCATTTTGTCTCAACAAACTTATTTTTCCACCAGAAGAATCCCAGGCTTCTTAAAGCACCCAGTGACTTTTGACACCTTAAATCTGTGAAATCCTCATGTTTTCTTCTGCCGTATGCATAGTTCAAACATACATACAAGATGAGGCAAAGCCAAATGCGTTCCTGAAGGGACCCAAGAAAGTCCTCTCTTTCTCTCTCTGGAACAAAATGAATTCTGTAGACCATCAGTACTAACCTTCAAATGTCAAACCTGTTTGTGAGATCTCCATTAATACTACTGTAGACCCAAGTGTTTATATTATGATATTAATTTAGTATTTATATGAATATAAGGGAGAAGTGTTTAAATCTGTCTGTACCACATGTGCCTCTGGCTTATTGCCCAATTAATTGTAGCCTCAGGCTAAACTTTGGTTTCTGTGTCTAATTTTTGTCAGAAAAAATATAACTGATCTCAAAACATCTGCTTCCATTGTAGGGACTCATGCTGCCATCTCCATTCCTTTCTCTTTTCTTGCAATCTGTGTGGAAGTTCTTTAATGTGAACATTTTGACCACCTTCACTCTCCCATGTCCACTGTCAGTGAGGAAGGAGAGCCAGGCATTTGGAATTCCCTCCCCCTCTGTCATCCACTGTGCAGCTCAATAGAAGAGAGAACAGGCCAGCTGGACTGCTGAATCTCTTTCCTGAAAATAACACAGTTGGTCTTGGGGAAACTCTCTGGAAGACACTATTTTTACTTAAAACAAGATCAAACCAGAGACCTTTTCACATGTGAGTCTTAAAACTGTAAACCAGAACCCTTTCATATGTGATTCCTGAAACTGTAAACAGAGACCTTTTCGCATGTGAATCCTAAACTGTAAACCGGAATCCTTTCATATGTGATTCTTAAAACTATAAACCTAAGATTCTTCCACGTGTAACATCTAAAGTATAAGCCTATATAAAGGCAGAACCTTCCTTTGTTAAATGAGCTGGGCTTTTGACAAATTACTGCCAGGTCTCCCCGCCGAATAAACTCTTTATTCATTGCTGGAGAGATCCATTTCATGTGGCCGCTCCTGCTAAGTCAGCACATTCAGATTTACCCAGCTGAGGCTGTAATCTTAGGCCAGAGATTTTTTAGGGATCTTTATTTAGCTATGATACGGTTGGCCCTCCTTTGACTCACTGTATCACCCCAGGGTTTTCATTTTAGGAGCTCAAGAGGGCAGAAAAAGAAGTAGGTGTGCAATTAAACCTTCTGAGTCAGGAGAGTGTCCCCTTGTGTAAAGCAACATTGCAGATCATCGTATGTAGGTATTGTCTAGCAGATGAGCCACGTGGCTGCTGAGCACACAGGCCTGCTTGTTGTTGTGAGCTCAGACTCCCTCATCATTAGTCTTTTCTATCTCTGGAGGGAATTACAAGGGCCACTTGATAATCTGTAAGTCATACAGAGTTAAAGGTGTTTCCCCAAAACACTGAGGACAGAATGAAAGGTGAGGAGTGTTAGCCACAGGTCAAAAGTGCAGGAAAGTCTCTTGATGTGGTTGTTGGAGAAATGCAGGTGTTTTTTCTTTTGGAAGTCTCCCTAGAATGGGGTGAAGGACTCTGCCCATTCTAGGATGAATAATTGGGAGATTAGACACCCTTGGATATTTAACCCAAGCCTTCATTTAGGGTTCTTAATGAGTTTGTTCAGCCAACACAGTCTCAAATGCTAGGTAGGACATTGGAATCTCTCCACAGTCCAAATTACCACTGTCTTTTAATGTTGAGTTTCTCAATATTCTCACCTGATATACCTTATTTATCCCACACTCACCCTAATAACACATTGTGCTCGCTGTTACCTTTGCAACAAGACTTGAATTTTACTTAGCCTGGAGGAGTGCACCTCACATGTCCAAACCCAGTTCTGACTCATTCTTCAGCCTTGCATCAGTCAGTCAGGGCTAGGTTAAACCACGGTAACAAACAATCTCCAAGTTTCGGTGGCTCAAAAATTTTCTTCCTCACTTATTTGCATCTCATCATGGGCCAGGTGAGAGGTAGCTTTGTGCTGTGTCATCCTAACACAGGAATCGAGGCTGAAGGAGGTAC